GCTCTGGTGTTTCTCGTTGGGGAGGGGGGCTATATTGATAATATAGTGAATCTGTAGTAAAAATGCATTATTTCTTTAAAAATCTTCTCTGCACTTGGGCATATCAGAGGCAAAAAGAGTAAAAGTTTTTATAAGGAAGGGTATTTTTACCAGATTTTTGAACATCTGGACCATTTGGTCAAGTGTTCTGGTCCTGGCCAGGGTTCTATTAATTTGTATTCTACTGAGATGAGTTATTCCCCTTTGCCATTTACTTTTGATAATTAATCACTGTAAATAATGTACTTGAAAGGCTAATAGAATAAGAGAATTATCCAAGAATTTTTATTGTATAATACAAAAAGTAATTTGAATTCATAGTTTTAATGATCAGGTAGACTTGTAAGTAATAGATAAATAAAAATGAGTCAAAAACAACTTTTCTTATTAAATGTTAATCAAAGACCAAGAGAGGCCAATGTAAGAGATTTCAACAAGGAATTAAAATAGTACAGAAGCACTGATAGTTTGTTAATATACTGTATGGTGAGAGTGATAAAATGGGGAACACGTTAGAACCTAATTTATGAACTGTTAATGAATACTAGACTAATTATTTTGTTGATCCTGATCACCCTATTTTTCTTGCTTTTGGGCAACAAAGCTTCACCTTTCAGTTCATTTTATACTCTATGGATCCTCTAAAATGTTGTATTATACTCAGGTGACCGTTAAGGCCCTTGGGCCTCTTGTCTTGTGTTACGTTTATACCGCATGAGGATAGTGACAAATGGGGGAAAGTACAGGCAAATAAATAGATCAACCTTTAAGATTTGTTATTGTACTAAATTAATATTTTGCTGATCCCTGATTATCCATTTCTCTTGTTTGGGGCAACAAAGCTTTATTTATCAGCTTCTTTTGTTTTAATCTATGGATTGTTACATTATACTCGGGTTACCGTTAAGGCCTTTGGGCCTCTTGTCATAAGAATATCTAGGTCAAGTTCTGTTTCGGACATGATCGAGCAATTTTGACAGAGTCATGCCCCTTGGACTTAGAAAAATTCCAATTATTTGCAGTTTCCGTTCATTTTCTTCTCAGAGGTTGCACATACTGAAATGAAATTTGGTATACAGATTTATCAAGAATATCTAGGTCAAGTTATGTTGGTACGATCAAGCAATATTTGACAGAGTGATGCCCCTTGGACTTAGAAAAATTCCATTTATTTGCAGTTTCCGTTCATTTTCTTCACAGAGGTTGCACATACTGAAATGAAATTTTGTATACAGATTTATCATAAGAATATCTAGGCCAAGCTCTGTTTTGGGTACTAACGGGCAATTTTTGACAGAGTGATGCCCCTTGGACTTAGAAAAACTCCAATTATTTGCAGTTTCCGTTCATTTTCTTCACAGAGGTTGCACATACTGAAATGAAATTTTGTATACAGATTTATCATAAGAATATCTAGGCCAAGCTCTGTTTTGGGTACTAACGGGCAATTTTTGACAGAGTGATGCCCCTTGGACTTAGAAAAACTCCAATTATTTGCAGTTTCCGTTCATTTTCTTTGCAGAGGTTGCATATACTGAAATGAATTTGGGGGGGGGGGGGGATAAGTGTTTCACAAACATCTCTTGTGTATCATAGTTATGCACATTCTACATGAAAAAGGAAGTTTATATAATAAGAAAGTACCATTTAAATTCTTGTTTAAAATATTGCAATATATATCGCACTACAGTTACAAATATTGCAATATATCACAATACCCAGCCCTAATAATTAATTCCTCACGTATATTAAGGAATCTATAGTAGGTTAGAGCAATCGTTTTTATATATACTTAACTTGTTCATCATGTAGATGGAAGAAGTAGGACATTGGTGAAGGAGCCCTCCAAACATCAGAGGAAATCACCAGTCATCAGAGGTGTTACAAAAACGAAGAAAAATGGAGCAAGGACAACCTGGAACCTCTAACAGGGAAAACTTCGCTGAAATAAAGTCAATCTCTGCAGGTATATAGGTGATTTGATGGCAAAAAGAGTACCATGATATCAGGTGGTCTATTGTCTTTTGTCATCTATCATCATGCATGAACTTTTCACATTTTCAAGTACTATTCTCTAACCACTGGGTCAATTTAAAAAAAATAGCCATAAAGTATCTTGGGATGATGGGGATTCATATGGTGTCATCATTGTGAAGTACAGAGGTCAATTATGTGTAATGTATTAAGGAAGAACTAAACACTCCAAAACAATTTAGGGTTCAAATGTTTTTGATGATGCAAATGTAAGTCATTGCTGTTTTATTTGGGCCAGATGGAGACCCCCTTTTAAGTTTAACAAAGGGTAGAAATGAACCTTTAATATTGTCCAAAATAGACTGTAATTCATTAGCTCATCAGAGCTAAAAGCTCAAGTGAGCTTTTTTGATCACATTTTGTCTGGCGTCCATCTGTGACTCTCTGTCTGTAAACTTTACATTTTCAACTTCTCTAGAACTTGGGGCCAATTTCAACCATACTTGCTATAAAGCATCCTTGATTGAAATGGAATCAGGTTTGTTCAAATGAAGGACCACACCTTCATTCAAGGGGAGATAATTAAGAATTTAGTAAAAATTAAATGATTTCTTTTAAAAATCTTATTCTCAAGAACCACTGGGCCAGAAGATTTGAAACTTATGTGGAAGTTTTATTACATAGTGTATATTCAAATTCATTCAAATGATGACCCTCTGAGAGTAGGTTGGCCACAATGGGCGATGGAAGTTTTTACATAAAATATATATAGGGAAAATCTTAAAATTTTTTCTCAAGAACAGGAAAGCCATAATAAGTCATATTTTTAGGTCACCTAAGTCACTCAGGTGACCTATTGCTATCCTTTTTGTCTGTCATCGCTCATCATGCTTTAACATTGAAACATTTTCAGCTTCTCCTCTGAATCCGCTGAACCAATTTCAACCAATTTTGGCACATGGCATCTATGGGTGAAGGGGAACAAAAATTGTGAATTTCATGGTTCCTGACCCCCTTGGGCCTGAGGGGGTGGGCTAAAACCACCAAAATTAATGCAATATTTAAAAATCTTCTTCTTTACTCCTGGACATCAAGCAGTCAAACTGTTGACATGATTGTAATAAGCATTGAGCCCTCTACCAAAATTGTGAAATTCATGGCCCCAGGACCAGGGGTTCTGGTGCTAGGGCTCTAATGATTGTATAGTGAAAATGCATTAATTCTTTTAAAATCTTCTCCCATGCTCCTGGGTATTTAGCCTATGAACTAAGTACCTAGTTATGATGAGCAAGAGTGCCTCGTCCAAATTTGTGAATTTCGTTGCGTCTGGATCAGGGGTTCTGGTGTTAGGGTGGGGCTCTAATGATTATATAGTGAAAAAATCTTCTCTGCTCCTGGGTATTGAGTCGATGAACTACGTACATAGTTATGATGAGGAAGAGTGCCTCTTCCATAATTATGAATTTCATGACCCCTGGGTCAGGGATTCTGGTGTTAGGGTGGGGCTCTAATGATAATATAGTGAAAACACATTAATTCTTTGAAAGCCTTTTCCTTTGTTCCTGGGTATTAAGCCGATGAACTTAGTACATAATTATGATGAGGAAGAGTGCCTCTTCAAAAATTGTGAATTTTGGCCCTTGGGTAAGGGGTTCCGGGGGGGCTTTTTATTATATAGTAAAAATGCATTAAGTATTTGAAAATCTTCTCTGCTCTTGGGTATTAAGCCGATAAAATAAGTACATAGTTAATTGAGGAAGAGTGCCTCTTCCAAAATTGTGAAATTCATGGCCCCTGGGTCAGGGGTTCTTGTGTTATGGTGGGGCTCTAATGATTATATAGTGAATATGCATTAAGTCTTTGAAAATCTTCTCTGCTCCTGGGTATTAAGCTGATGAAATAAGTATATCTTCATTGATCTTAACTTCTATATTCTAAAGTTCACATATGCATCTCTAACATAAATGCTTTCTAAGTTCGTGAACTTATCACAAACAAACTGGGACAAATACACAGATGCTGTAAGCATGGCGTACAACACTTCAGTACACGAGACTACAGGAATAACACCATACCGTATGATATTTGGAAGTGAAATGACAATTCCAGTGTCTGTTATGTGATTTTACTGATTTTCAAAATGAGGATATAATGTGTTATGCGGATTATGTGACAAAGTTGTGTGAAAGTCTGGAAAAAGCTCATGATTTGGCAAGGGAAACATCCTGATCTTCGATAGCAACGCAAAGAAAACAGTATAACAAGAACATTACAGAAAAGAATTATGAAGTGGATGACGTGGTGCGACTTTACCAACCTAGATAGAAGAAAGGAACAAAACTGAAACTATCATGAAATTGGACTGGTCCTTGGGTTGTGCTGAAACGCCTTAGTAACATCCTGTTTCCAAATTCAGCATTCGACGTCAAAACCAAAGATTGTGCATGCGGACAACTTAAAGCCATTTTGCACAAGGAAAACAATACACATAATTTAGAGACATTAGTAAAGCAAACTATGATAAACAGCAAAGATCACATTATTGAGGAGCCTAACATTATCCCTGTCCCAAAGGAAACAGATTCCAATGTAGAGGACTGAGAAGTTACTAGAACCTCAAAGACGGAGTTCAAAGGATGCTGCCGACAAAGACCGCAATGTAGCTGGGGAGGACTGCGACAGTAGCTAGACATGCAATACCCGAACTCCAGACAGACCCTCCATGCGGACCAGAGCCGGGCGCCTTATAAAAGTGCTGCAGCAGACTCAGAGACTGACCAAACCCTATTTGGATGTTTGACAGTACAGATGATTTGTTAAACTTGTGGACTAATACTTAAGAATAGAAAACGCTTCAACAACATACAAAAGAAATTCATAGCGAATGTGTAAATATATTTCACTGTGATTTTTGTGGAAGACCATTTTCCAGAAAATTTAATCTAAAGAAACATTTGAACCGTGTGCACGGAAAACTTGAACTAACGATGGCAGGTAGTAAACAATTAACTAGAGAAGATTTAAAGAAAAATCAAAAAGCAGTCTACGTCCCTTTGTATGAAGATATTTCATCTGACGAGGAGTCATTTGATGTCAAAACAAATATCCAACCACAGCCAGTTTATGCACCAGAACTTAAGGACACTTGGTCAGATGAAGAGATCATTGATGAACAGCCAAAAGAAGGAAGTGAAGAAAATGTAAATATGGATCTAATAGAGGAATTACTGGGGGGAAAATGGATTACGTAATGACTTTGTAGAAGATTCGAGGACGCACCAGAATTGGAAGACGGTGAAAGTGAGAACGAACGTACTATAAACAATAGTGAAAGTAGTGATGCTGCCAAGAGTGTTCATCCAATGACAATTACACATTCAAATGAAATATCGTTAACACAGACAACTACAGTTATGCCAAACAGAAATACCGAAATTGAAAGACAATCCAATGTGTGTTTTAGCGAAAATATTGATCCAAGTGACGTTGACATGGACACTCTCATTCGGGACATATTAAGTGAAATTACAATCCATTTACATAATCAGAGAGACAGGAATGTGTATGGAGATTTTTCTGAGTGACCTTTGACCTTTTAAAACTTGAACTTTTAACAGTTAAAGATAATGTTAATTCTTTTTTTCTTGACTCTTGTATGTGAATATACATTGGGCACAACCATTGTCTCTGATTTTTCATCTATTATCAATGAATTCAGGAACAACATCTAAGTTTTAAAAAAGTGCGTTTTCAGATAATTGTTCTCTTGCACATACACTACACAACATTTATTTATTGAATAAGGTACTAAAATATAGCATTGACTCCACACAAAAAAAATTATTATACCTCTATTAAGAATACTCAGATTTGATTGGCTTGTAAGAAGGCTTTTAAACTCAATAATGACTCCAAAAAGTACCATTTACAGCAATAAGGATATAAGAATCATTGCACGTGGGGTATAATGACCCGGTCATTATAAATAATGATCGCTAAAAATGACCTGTGAATTTAAATTCCTTTCAAATTTAAAAATTAATGCATACAGTAATGAATGTTCATTACAAAAAAATCCGTTATAAAAATAACCCCAATTCTTTCTTTCAATTACTCCACAATATTGATTCTCAATACGCTATTGAAAATAGTGCAAAAGTATATATTGACAAGTTGGTGGGATTCATTGTCTTTTTTAAATATCAAATAACATAAACTCTTACATATACCGAGGTATATGTTGTTTATACGTTGAAAGCAAGAAAGAAAACTAAAAAGAAACAAACAAAAAAAAAGAGAAAAAACAACAACAACAAACAAATGTGTGCTACTCGGAGTAAGATCTATTTGCATCACAACAGCTCGTACTGTAAATAATTAAGCCTTGACATTGCTTGTACGAATATCTGAGAAAAATATACAATAATTTTATTTTGTAAAACATCGCTAACAATAGGAGCAAGATGGCTGTTTTTATAGAAATAGAAGG